AGAGATTGATTTAACTGTTCTGGGATAGGGTCCTAGGCTTTTTTATTATTATTATTATTTCAGACTTTCAGAAGAATTCTAATATGCCAGGATTGACCAGCTCTGGTCTACTGGAAAAAAAGAGAAAAATCTAAATTCTTCATCCCGGCTGGCATTCAAGACTCTTAGTTATTAGGCACTAGATTTGCTATCCGAACTTCCATACTACTATTAGAGAAAGACTAACTGCTGTATTCATGACCATGAACTTAGTCCTACAGATCTGTGCCAGTCATTCCCACCTTTGCTCACATGTCTAGGTCCCCATGACAAGAATTGCCTCTCCTTATTCCCCTTACCCAACTGAATGCTTTCTTATCCTTCAAAGCTCCTCCCAATAGATGTTATGGTCTATACTTAACATTGATTTCTCATTTCCGTCAGCTGACATTTTCTAAGACCTTTGGAGCCCTGGTGGTGCACTGGCTAAGAGCCTGGAAGTTTGAAGCCACCAGACGTTCCTCAGAAACCCTATGGGGCAGTTCTACTCTGTCCTATAGGGTTGCTATGAGTCGGAATCAACTTGACGGCAACGGGTTTGGTTTGGTTTAGTTCAAATGCCATCTCTTCAACAAATACCTTTCCTGACTTCCCTAGCCAAAAAAGAACTCTCATAGAACTCTCTAATTTTTCTATGCAATTATCATATGCAAACTCATATTCTTTTTACATACACATCTCTTAAGTAGAATGGAAGCTACTCAGAAGCAGGAACCAATTCTGCCCTAATGATTTATGTCCCTTTAGATATTTTTATACATAATGGTTCAGTGCTTATTGAATGAAAATGTGACAGACTGCTTCATACGGAAAACAAGACCGTTTTGTCCCTGAAAGCAAGACATTTTGAATCCTCACAGCAAGAAGTATTCTATAAACGTCAGTGGAATTGAACTACCTATTCATTTCCTCTTTACCAACAATCATATTTTACTAAAATATGTTGATTCTTCAGAACACTTTGCACTTAGCAGAGACTCAAGTACCTGATTTTCCTCATTCCAAACCAAAACCAAACCCACTGACGTCGAGTCAATTCCAACTCACAGCAACCCTATACGATAGAGTACAACTGTCCCGTAGGGTTTTCAAGGCTGTAAATCTTTGTGAAGGCAGACTACCACATCTTTCTCCCATGGAGTGGCTGGTAGGTTCAAACTACCGACCTTTTGGTTAGCAACTGAGTGCTTAACCACTGTGCCACCAGGGCTTCTTCTTCATTCCAGTCCCATAAAATCATGTAAAGTATCACAAAGCTACTGATACTTCATATCTCTCCATCCTTATACACAGCTCCTTTCCCCATTAAAATAGCAGAGTGCCTTCCCTCACTCTCATGAGTCTGGGTTGACCTGACTTACTCGGACCAAAGGAAAGCAGTGCCAATAACACCACATGACTTCTTGGCCTAGGTCTTAGCAAGCCTTGCAACTTCCATTTCTGCCCTTTGGGATCCAGCCTCCATGTAAAGAAGCTTCAGCTAGATTACCAAATAGACCGTGTGGAGAATCTCAGCCACCACAACTGAGCACCAATCTTGAACACTCTAACCCTGTCCAAGCTCCCAGCTGAATGCAAACACATGCTTGACTCTAACCCTCACCAAATGGAGAAGAACCACTTAGTGAGCGCAGACAACCCAGAGAATAAAAGGACTAATAAATTGTCATTTTTAAGCCACTAACTTTTGGGGTGCCTTGTTACATAGCAATAAATAAGCAATAGATAAAGGTACTTACTTTAGAGGATTTGGATCAAGAGACCTAATCAACCTAATTTCTCTACATTCAAATCTCAACTTGTATCTTCAAATAATTTACTTTTCTTTAGTTTGCAACATTATTTTTACAAATGAAAAGCTAAAATAATTTAAAAATATATCTTCATTCATCTCTTCAGGTTTTCGATTCTTGGCTATACGCACTCTAAAGGAATGTCATTACCATTTAGATTTGCCAAACTCTGTACTATTTTAATGCATACATTTCATTTATTCCTCACATAACCCTATGAGGAAAGTACTGTATTATTCCTCCATGACAGATTAAACAAAACTAAGTGTGATGGTTAAGATTGTGTGTCACCTTGACTGGGCCATGATTCTCAGTGTTTATGTGTGATCACCCCGATGATGGGATTTGCTGTGAATAGCCAATCTGTTGAAAGGTAGTTTCCTTGGGCGTGTGGTCTGCATCCAAATATAAGTGGATGTTCTGGCTTTTGCCTGCTTTGGATCCTGCAGCTGCCTCCTGTTCATCTGACCGCTGGTTCTTAGGACTTGAGCTAGCAGCTTACTTGCCGATCTTGGGATTCATTAAACTTCACAGCCTGTGGGCAAGAGCCCTGCTCTCCAACCTGCCAATCTTGGGCTCGCCAGCCCCTGCAGCTACGTGAATCAGAAGCCTCTATCCTGATTCACGGAGTTGGGACATTCCAGCCTCTACAATTGTGTGAGCCGTTACCTCGATACAAATCTCTTATATTTATATTTATACACTTTACTGGTTTTGCTTCTCTAGAGGACCCAGTTTAAGACGCTAAGCCTCATAGAAATTAACTATTTTGCCTAGGTAGATAGTTGCCATCAAGTGTACTCCGACTCATGTACAATAGAATGAAATGTTGCCTGGTCCAGCATCATCCTCATGATAGCCAGCAGGTTCGAATCTACTGTTGTGGTTATTGTGCCAATTCATCTCACCAACGGTCTCCCTAGACCTCGTTGGCTCTACTTCACCAAACATGATGTCCTGTACTAGCTATTGATCTTACCTGATGATGTGTCCAAAGCAAGAGAATTGAACAATGTTCTGTTGTGACCTATAAGGTTTTCATTGGCTAATTTTTGGAAGTGGATTGCCAGGCCTTTCTTCCTAGTCTGTCTTAGTCCAGAAGCTCTGCTGAAACCTGTCCACCACAAGTGACCCTGCTGGTATTTGAAATACTGATGCCATAGCTTCCAGCATCACAGCAACATGCAAGCCACCACAGTATGACAAACTGACAGTTTTGTAGGTTTTGCCTAGGGTCACATAGAGTGATAGAGCTTAAATTTAAACCTAGATCTGTCTGCCTCCAAAGCCCATGTTCTTAATCAATAGTTTATACCAGAGACCCATATTAACCTAAAAAGACCACCCAAGGAAAACAAATAGAACTTTTAATTCACATAAGATTGCTTTAAAAGCAAGACATCAAATACGTTTCTTATTTCATTCAGCAAGTATTTGTTGAGAGCCTCACTATTCTAGGCTCAGGAGGTATACCAACAATTTAACCGTAATTGATACACCATTCTAGAGATTGTAGCAACGTCTGTCTCCTCTCCACTGAGTAATATCAACAGTATTTAACTTAATTTACAGCCAAGTAATTATTAAAACAATAGAAAGGCAGACAGTGTCATACTATGCTTCAGTACAATCAGACTCACCTAATCATCCCCAACATATTTTGTGTTCTCCACTCTCCCCCCCACCCCACCACCATGCACCACTGATCTTTCTTCTCTTCCCCACTGGAAATGTTCTGCCATCCTCCTCTGCTTACCAAAATTCAACCTCTTCTGTGAAGCTTCTCCTGATTAGGCCAGTCGGATACATTCTCTTATCTAGGATATTTATTATCCATATCAGTGGCTTCCAAATATGGCCAATTAAAATCACCTAATACTAAAAAAAAACAAAAAAACACTGTCATCTATTCTGACGCACGATGATCCCACGTTTCAGAATAGAACTGTCCACCATAGATTTTCAATGGCTGTAATCTTACAGAAGTGAATCATCAGGACTTTCTTCTATGGTTCTGCTGGGTGAATTCAAATCGCTAACCTTTCAGTTGGTAGTCCAGTGCAAACCTTTTGCATGACCCAGGGACCCAAAATCACCTAAGGGGCTTTCAAAATTAGAATTACTAAAAAATTAGTGGCGCCATACTTTGAAAGAGCAAGATTGCAAACAATTTAAATGTCCATCAAAATGATGCTGGTTAAATCATTATGGTATTTGAGGATATGAAACTATTTCCAAGTTGTATTAATTGAAAAAGTAAGGTACAGAACAATGTGCATAGAATGTTACTTTGTAAAAAGGATATATATGTGTGTGTAGCTGTGTGTATACATATATGTCTACACACACACCCACACATACATAAGCTTGTACCTGCACAGAATATACACAACTCAAAGAAACTCATAACAATGGTTGCCTCTGAGGAGGAAAAAAACAAGCTGTGAGAAACTTTTCATCTGATTACCATTTTGTAAGTTTTTAATTTTACATTGTATCAATGATTTAAAAAAATTTTTTTTAAAACAACATAGATGCTCAAGACTCAGTTCAGCTCTACTGATGACAATCTTTGAGAGTTGGGACCAGTCTTTGAAATGTTTAACTGATGATCAGTCAGGTTTAGGAACCATCTACCTATAACATTCATAAGCTATGTTCTGCCTCATTAAAGTATACACGACAATATAACTTCTATATTCCTAACTAGAGAAGTATACAGTAGGGTGGGATAGCTTATACTTTTGTTTTCCCTACAGTTTCCAGTTCAGACAAGGTGCCCAATAAATATGCTGATAAAAGTAGTGCAGAAGTACAATTGCAATTTTCTATTTCATTCCAGTGTGAAAGGTTCTTTAGAAACATATTTAACTTAACAGGATTATGGGGTAATTAAAAATTACCACTTTCAATATATGAAGGGTCAAATGTTGACAAGTGCCAATAATTAGGTACTCTTACAAACTTTATCTTTTTTTTTTAATTGTGTTTTAGGTGAAACTTCACAGCTCAAGTTAAGTTTTTTGTCCAAAAATTTATATACAAATTGTTTTGTCACATTGGTTGCAATCCCTGCAATATGTCAGCACTCTCCCCCTTTCCCTTTCCGCCCTGGGTTCTCTGTGTCTATTCATCCCAGTTTTCCTGTCCCTTCCTGCCTTCTCATCTTTGCTTTTGAGCAGATGTTGCCCATTTGGTCTCATATACTTGACTGAACTAAGAAGCACGTTCTTCACGTGTGTTATTGTTTGCTTCATAAGCCTTCTAATCTTTGAGTGAAAGATGGACTTCAGGAGTGGCTTCAGTTCTCAGTTAGCAGGGTGAAAACGTTTCTTTTTTAAAGGCTATACGTATGGCTAGACTGCAAAGGGCAAGTAATGAAGTCTAAGCCTACGACCAAAAGACTCAGGGATACATCAGATTTCATATTTTACACGAATAAATAGAAGGAACATCTAAAAGAAATTAAAGTGTGTGGACAGCAGATTCCAAAAAAACCCATTTTATTACAGAAAACATAGAAAGCCCTTTCCTCATAAGGAGATGTACTGTTCCCCTTATTCAGGGTGATAGATGTACCACTTCCACAATTCTCAATCTTCTCTTCTACCGGTACTTTCCATGTCGATTAAAGTGTTTGTAAAGATAGCTGATACGTTTGTTAAGGTTGTGCAAGTCATCAAGGAACATTCGATTCCCAACCATTTTCTTCTTTCTGATACAACGCTGTAATTCATTCCCCTTCCAACCTCGAAGCCATTTGGGACCCTTGATCAGTTCTTTGGGGTGCTTTTCAAAGTTACCTGTGTAACATGAGAGAACATATCATTTCCAAGACAAGAGAACTCAGCCTAGACCAACCAAGCTTTCAACAGACAGTTGCATCTTCCTGAGCAGCACCTGTACTCAAGACACATTACAGTACAGTGTCAAGAGAAGACTCTGCAGCCAGACTGCTTGGGGTTCAGATTCTGGCACTATCATTTACTAGCTTTGAAAATTACTTAACTTCTCTGTTCCTCAGTTTCTTCATCTGTACAGTGAAAGGGCTATTATGAGGATTAAACTAGTTAATATATGTTGTGCACTCAGAACAGTGCTGAAGACAATATAAATAGCCACATAAGTGGTTGCTCTTACTATTGAGAACGACACCATTACTGTTGAGAACGACACACAGGTGAAAAAAAGAGATAGTCCTTATGGCCTAACTGCCATTTGGAATTCTGTACTATGTAGAGCATAAAGTCTTACCCAGGATCCCAATGTTGTCATACACCCCGAACATGGCTCTCTTCTCGTTCCAACGATCAACCACTTTAGGGGGTGGGAGGGTAAGCCTTACACGGGACAATCCAGGAACGCCTAGGAATGAGAGGGAAAACAGAATGAGTCTGAGACACCTACTGAAAGCAGTTCTCAGGACGTCTTTCTACATCAGTTACTCACCCAGAGAGAAGCTTCTGCAGGCCAGGGGCACCCAGCCCCACAGGAGCCTACCTGCCCCCCAGGAGAGGCTCCCTGCCATTGCCCTCGTCTATCCTACAACGGCACACGGTACGATTGCAAACGTGAGGGCCAGACGTGTTCCTCAGGGAGATAACGACGAGAACTGTCACTGCCGGCCTCACACCTTGACCAGGATGGAGGCAGACATCTTGGGCTTTTCCCAGGGAGCTCTAGGCGCAGGACTCGCCCCGCCCACCAGGTTCCGGCGCGCGAAAGCCTGGGCACACCCCCACCCCCACCCCCACCCCAGCCCTAGGAGGCGTTTCGGGTCTCTGCCGGAGTTTCCGAGCTCCGGAATAGGTGAGGAAACCGCCTGGTCGCCATGTAGGGCTCCCTGAAACTGAAATCTCAAGAAAAGTTCGCCCTTTCCTGATTTCTTGGGCGTTCTTCAACTGTGAAGGGCCTGAAAGTCTGGAACCTGGAGCTTCGGGGTGTTCAAAGACGAAGCCCTTTCCTTTCAGCCTCACAACAGTCTTGGCGCTTCAGCTGTCTTAGTACCCCATTTTACAGGGGAAGAAATTTAAGGCTCAGAGAGTGAAGTGACTTGCACAAGAGATGGTGGAAGTTGGATTAGAGCCCAAGCCTTCTAACTCCCGCCTGGACTTGCCTCCTGTCCTGGGGGTGACTGAGTGGGTCACTATCCCAGGGAACTAGCGGTGCCTAGCTAGAAACGCGGCATTCCTGGCAGGCGCTGCCAAAACCTTCCCACCTTCCGTAGAAAAATGAACCCTGCTGCCACATGGCGAAGCCGTGGGTGCTCGTGGGAGGAACCTGGTGAACTGGAACCCAGGCCCTGCCCCTCAGCGGAGCGGTCCGGCCCTCTGACTCTTCTACTGTGATTGGCCAGTCTCTCCAGCGAGCATCGCGATTGGCCCCCTTGTAGCCGTTGAGATTTTGAACTATTGTGGCTTCGGCTGCGTGGCGCCTGATCCAGAGGCGGGTTTTTGCCTCTGCCTGGTCGGGATTGGCTAGTTTCTCGGCCCGCTGAAAAGCCGCCTCGCTGATTGGCGTGTGTTATGCAGTTCGTGTTTTTTCTGTCTTGTGCGGTCAGTGTTTTTTCCTTCCGTTTAGGTCGGACAACCTGAGTCGGAGGAGCGGCGGGTGAGGGGCTTGACTAAGGTGTGTTATCAATGGGGAGCGGGAAATGGAAGGCTGGGAAATGGAGCGCGGGCAGTATGACTCGGTATTAGGAAGCGTACGAGAGGCAAGGAGGTCTACTGGGGATATCCTTGCGGTGCGGTGTGGTAGAAAGCCAGACAGATCCGCAACGGAATCATGTAATTTGAGCAAATCACTTAATCTTTCTTAGCCTAAATTTTCTCATCTGTAAATTGGGTTCACGTATGCACTCCGTGGGTTTGGGATTGGGGAGATTAAATCAGATATGATGTTTTTAAGTAGCGTAGCAGCCCGGTACAGAGTAAACAAGTAATGTTATGTTTTCCCATTCTGGAGCCAGAAAACCCACTGCCTCATCCTGGGCCACTGCTCGGCCTCAGGTGAGAAATCTATACTTGAGGAGTTTGCCCATAAAAATGGAACTAATAATGATAATTTTATATATGGATACGTCACTTTACAGTTATTTAAACAGTTTCATACCCTTTGACTCATTTGATCCTCAGAGCAACATTGTGAAGTAATCAGAGATTAGTAATCCCATTTTACAGATGAGGCCCAGGGAGTTAAGTGACATGACCAGGTGGCAGAGTCACAACTAGAATTAGATTCTAATCTAGGGTTGATCTTGTGTCTCACATCCTCTAAGATAACGGTATCAGTTCGTTGTGAGACTAAAAAGCATTATTATATATTGGAGATGGGGAAAATAATTGTTGTTAGGTGCCATCGAGTCGATTCCGACTCATAGCGACCCTGTGTACAACAAAACCAAGCACTGTCCAGTCCTGCACCATCCTCACAGTTGTTGCTATGTTTGCGTCCATTGTTGCGGCCACTGTGTCAGTCTATCTTGTTGAGGGTCTTCTTGTTTTTCGCTGACCCTCTACTTTACCAAGCATGATGTCCTTCTCCAGGGACTGGTCCCTCCTGATAACATGTCCAAAGTATGTGAGACAAAGTCTCGTTATCCTTGCTTCTAAGGAGCATTCTGGCTGTACTGAGACGGATTTGTTCATTCTTCTGGCAGTCCATGATATATTCAGTATTCTTCACTAACACCATGATTGAAAGACATCAGTTTTCTTCTGTCTTCCTAATTCATTGTCCAGCTTTCAGATGTATGTGAGGTGATTGAAAATACCATGGCTGGGGTCAGGCGCACCTTAGCCCTCAAAGTGACATCTTTGCTTCTCAACACTTTAGAGAGGTCTTTTGCAGCAGATTTGCCCAATGCAGTGCCTCATTTGATTTCTTGACTGCTGCTTCCATGGGCGTTGATTGTGGATCCAAATAAAATGAAATCCTTTAAAACTTCAATCTTTTCTCTGTTTATCATGATGTTGCTTATTGGTCCAGTTGTGAGGACTTTTGTTTTCTCTATGTTGAGGTGCAATCCATACCGAAGGCTGTGGTCTTTGATCTTCATCAGTAAGTGCTTCAGGTCCTCTTTCAGCAAGCAAGATTGTGTCATCTGCATATCACAGGTTGTTAATGAGTCTTCCACCCACCCTAATGTCGCATTCTTCTTCATATAGTCCAGCTTCTCCGATTATTTGCTCAGCATACAGATTGAATAAGTATGCTGAAAGGATACAACCCTGACGCACACTTTTCCTGACTTTAAACCAAGCAGTATTCCCTTATTCTGATCGAACAACTGCCTCTTATTCTGTGTACAGGTTCCCCATGAGCACAATTAAGTGTTCTAGAATTCCCATTCTTTCACACTGTTATCCATAATTTGTTATGATCCACACAGTCATGCCTTTGCATAGCCAGTAAGACACAGGTAGACATCTTTTTGGTATTTTCTGCTTTCAGCCGTGATCCATCACACATCAGCAATGATATCCCTTGTTCCATGTCCTCTTCTGAATCTGGCTTGAATTTCTGGTACTTCGCTGTCAGTGTACTGCTGCAGCTGCTTGTGAATGATATTCAGCAAAATTTTACTTGTATGTGATATTAATGATATTGTTTAATAATTTCCACATTCTGTTGCATCACCTTTCTTTGGAATGGGTACAAATATGGATCTCTTCCAGTTGGTTGGTCAGGTAGCTGTCCTCCAAATTTCTTGGCATGGACGAGTGAGCACCTCCAGTGCTGCTTCCGTTTGTTGAAACATCTCAGTTGGTATTCCATCAATTCCTGGAGCCTCGTTTTTCACCAATGCCTTCAGTGCAGCTTAGATTTCTTCCTTCAGTACCATCGGCTCTTGATCATATGCTGCCTCCTGCAGAGGATGAACGTTGACCGATTCTTTTTTGGTATAGTGACTCTGTGTATTCCTTCCATCTTCTTTTGATGCTTCCTGTGTTGTTTAATATTTTTCCCATAGAATCCTTCAGTATTGCAACTTGACGTTTGAATTTTCAATTCTTTGAGCTTGAGAAGTGCTGAGCATGTTCTTCCCTTTTGGTTTTCTAACTCCAGATCTTTGCACATTTCATTATAATACTTTACTTTGTCTTCTCGAGCCACCCTTTGAAATCTTCTGTTTAGCTCTTGTGCTTCATCATTTTTTTCTTTTGCTTTAGCTACTCTTTTTTTTTCAAAAGGAAGTTTCAGAGTCTCTTCTGACATCCATTTTGGTCTTTTCTTTCCTGTCTTTTTAATGACCTCTTGTTTTCTTCATGCATAGATATCCTTGATGTCATTCCACAACTCATCTGGTCTTAGGTCGTTAGTGTTCAATGCGTCAAATATGTTTTTGAGATGATGTCTAAATTCAGGTGAGATGTACTCAAGGTAGTACTTTGACTCTTGTGAACTTGTTCTACTTTTCTTCAACTTCAGCTTGAACTTGCATATGAGCAATTGATGGTCTTTTCCACAATCAACTCTTGGCCTTGTTCTGACTGATGATACTGAGCTTTTCCATCATCTCTTTCCACAGATGTAGTCGATTTTATTACTGTGTATTCCGTCTGGTGGTGTCCACATGTATAGTTGCCGTTTACATTGTTGAAAAAGGTATTTGCGATGAAGAAGTCCTTGGTCTTGCAAAATTCTATCATGCAGTCTCCAGCGTCACTTCTATCACCAAGGCCATGTTTTCTGAGTACCAATCCCGTCTTTGTTTCCAACTTTCACATTCCAATTACCAGTAATTATCAGTATATTGTGATTGCCATGTTTGATCAATTTCAGACTGCAGAAGTTGGTAAAAATCTTCAAATTCTTCATCTTTGGCCTTAGTGGTTGGTGTGTAAATCTGAATAATAGTCATATTAGCAGGTCTTCCTTGTAGGCATATGGATGTTATCCTATCACTGACAGCATTGTACTTCAGGATAGATCTTGAAATGTTCTTTTTGACAAGGAATGGGATGCCATTTCTCTTCAAGTTGTCATTCCCAGCCTAGTAGACTGTACGATTATCTGATTCAGAATGGCCAATACCAGTCCGTTTCAGCTACTAATGCCTAAGATATCGATGTTTATGCATTCCATTTCATTTTTGATGTTTTCCAATTTTCCTAGATTCATACTTTGTACATTCCGTGTTCAAATTATTAATGGATATTTACAGCTGTTTTTTCTCATTTTGCGTTGTGCCGTATCAGCAAATGAGGGTCCCAAAAGCTTGACTCCATCCATCCACGACATTAAGGTAGACTCTACTTTGAGGAGGCAGCTCTTCCCCAGTTGTATTTTGAGTGCCTTCCAACCTTAGGGGCTCATCTTCCAACACTGTATCAGACAGTGTTCCTCCGCTATTCATAAGGTTTTCACTGGCCAGGTTTTTCAGAAGTAGGCCGCCATGATCTTCTTCCTAGTTTATGCTAGTCTGGAAGCTCAGCAGAAACCTCTCCAACATAGGTGACCCTGCTGGTATTTGAAATCCCAGTAACATAGCTTGCAGCATCACCGCAACACGCAAGCCACCACTGTACGACAAACTGGCAAGATGCTTGGGAAGGTGTGGAGAATAATAATACCAGATAAAAAGACAGGGCTTAGATATAGACCCTGACATTTCTGCCGTTTGGTTTCTAGCCCTGTGAGCCAGTGGGAGAAAGATGTCTCCCCAGCTGTATGAGTTCCATCTGCCCTTATCCCCAGAGGAGTTGTTGAAAAGTGGAGGGGTGAATCAGTATGTTGTGCAAGAGGTGCTATCCATCAGACATCTTCCATCACAGCTTAAAGGTAAGACTATATAGCTGCTACTGTGCTTAGCACTTTGAAACAACCATCTCACATGTAGTTATGTTGCCTGTCTGTTCTACTACACCATTAAGCTCCATGAGGGCTAGGAGCATGTTTTTCCTATTTCCTACTCTTTACTCCCTAGCATTGCATAGTTATGTGACATGAAGAATACACTCATTAACTGCCTTCTCTGGGTTATGTAGTAAATAATCTTGTTGTATGTGGTTACTCTTTTGGTGTCTTAGGCTGGGTTCCTTAGGGAAGCAAGACCAGTGAAGCTCTCTCTCTCCATATATGTAGAGAGAGATTGAGATTTATCCCAAGGAAATGGCTCATACGGTTGTAGAGGCTGGCAAGTCCCAAATCTATGGGTCAGGTGTCAAGCTGGAGGCTTCTCCTGACTCACGTAGCTGCAGAGGCTGATGAACCCAAGATTGGCAGGTGATACTGCAAGCTCCTGGCTCAAATCCCAAGAACTGGAAGTCACATGATAAGTGGTTGCAGGATCCAGAGGAAGCAAGTGAACTTTGCCAGAACGTCCATATATATTGGATGCACACATCACAGAGAATGGCTACATCATTACATAACTTCCAAACCACTGAGAATCGTGGCCCAGCCAAGTTAACACACAACCTTAACCATCACACAGGGGGAAAAAATTACTTTAGATCTTTACCCCTTACCACACACCCGAATAAAGTCCTTATGGATTTAATAGTTATAGGAGAAGGTAGCGTGTTCAGAATGTCTGGGACTTGACCTAATATTTCAGCTTAATGCTTTTTTGACGTCAAGATACCTTGTTTCTAAGAGTGTTCAACAATGGAAAGAAAACATACATATAGCTGCTGTGTTAGTAGTTATCTAGTGCTTCTAAAACAAATACCACAAGTGGATGTCTTTAACCAACAGAAATTTATTTTCTCACAGTTTTGGAGGCTATAAGTCCAAATTCAGAGCACTGGCTTCTGAGAAGGCTTTCTCTCTGTTGGCTCTGGAGGAAGGTCCTTTTCTCTTCAGCTTCGGCTTCCTGGTTCTTTGGAGATCTCCATGTGTCTTGGCATCTATCTTACCCATCTCTCTATCAGCTCCCTTGTTTAATCTCTTTTTGTATCTTCAAAAGGGATTGACTCAAGATACACCCTACTCTAATCCTGCCTCATTAATATAACAAAGACAGTCCATTACCAATTGGTACAGAGGTTAGGATATACAACACATGTTTTGGGGAACACAATTTAATCCGTAACAACTGCAAACAATTGTTGTCTACTGAAACCTATAAATAACCAAGAACAACTCATGCATTACCAGCAAGACCCTATAATGTCACTGTGCTTGTTGGAACTGGTCTTGTATCAGGTTGCTTTGGAAGCATAGATGCAGTAAAGATTAAGACTCTGGAGCCAGACTGCCTGGATTTGAATCCTGGCTCTTAACCATTTTGACCTTGGACAAAGTTACTTATTCTCTCTGTGCCTTGGTTTCCTCATTTATAAAGATAAGTATAATAACTACTTCGTTTGTCATCTCCAACAAGAAGAAGGGTTGGTTCATACAGTAGCTTGATGATACAACTCCAGCTTATTGCCTCTTAGAGTCCCTGGGTAGTCTAAATGGTTAAAATACTCAGCTGCTAACTAAAAGGTTGGAGGTTTGAGTCCACCCAGAGTCTCCACAGAAGAAAGGCCTGGCAATCTCCTTCCGAAAAATCAGCTACTGTAAGCCCTGTGGAGCACAGTTCTACTCTGACACATTTGGGGTTGTCATGAGTCAGAGTCCACTTGATGGAAATTAGTACTGGTACTGTCTCCTCTTGGCCTTCCTGTCATGGTTACCAGAAGGCAGCTCCTTGCTCTGGTGTCTCAATGTCCAGAGGTGGGAAAGGGGATTCCCTATCTTGTGTTTTTTCTTTTCTTTTTTTAAAAACGTTACCAGAGCCCCCCAACAGACTTACCCAGAATTGGATCACATGCCCATTTCTGTAACCAGTTACTGGTAAGAGAAATAAAATTACCCAAATTGGTTAAAACTGATCAAGATAAACACCTATGGGCCTCCCTAAACCTGAACTTAGCACCATTTGGTAAGCAAGGAGGAGGCATGCTGTGGAGGTTGACTGATGTGTGGCCAACCCTCAGTGTCCACAGAGATACCTTTTTGTCTATACTGCGTGGACCAACTGCACATGCTGCACATGATAACAAATTGTTCTTCAGTTATTACAATGCCTCTTTTTTTTGTGTATGTGCTTTAGGTGAAAGTTTACAGCTCAAGTTAGTTTCTCATACGAACATTTATACACACATTGTTATGTGACCCTAGTTGCTATCCCTATAATGTGACCACACATTCCTCCTTTTCACTCCACATTTCCCGTGTCCATTCAACAAGCTCCTGTCCCTTTCTGCCTTCTTATCTCATCTCCGGACAAGAGCTGCCCATTTAGTCTCATGCACACTCTTCGTGAATATCACAATGTATCATTTTTTAAAATGCATGATCACTTTATTTTAAAGTCCTTTTATAACGGTTACATTGCTTTGATGATTTTGATGTTTAGAATCTTAAATACAAGTTCTACTATAAATATACAAGGTTAAATCACTTAATTTATTGAGCAAGTGTTTAGTGATCATATGCTATGTGCCAGGCACTGTTCTGGGCACTGGGAATACAACACTAAACAAAACAGACAAGAGTTCAAAGTTCTTTCTCTCAAGGCACTCACAAATAAGTAAATATGGAGTATGTCAGATGGTTTTAAGTGCCAAGGAGAAAAGTAATGCAAGGTAAGGGAGGTAGGATGTGCCGGGGGCTCGGGGGGAGGAGTGCGGGGGTGTCATTTTATGTTGGATGATCCGAGAAGGTTTGCTAATATGTGACATTTGAGCAGGGACCTTGAGGAAGTGAATTGTGGAGGTTCTTGGGTAAGGGCATTCCAGGCAGACAGAAAAGCCAGTGCAAACACTCTAAGGTGAGAAATGCCAATACGGTTGGAGTGGAATAAGCTTGGAAAAGAGGTCAGCTAGGAAGTGATACAGATCATTCTAGAGTCTTGCTCCTCAAAGTGTGGTCCTCAGACCAGCAGCATTAATACCATGATCTGGGAGCTTATTAGGGTCCCTGGGGGTGAAGTGGTTAAGAGCTTGGCTGATAACCAAGAGGTCAGCAGTTCAAATCTACCAGCTGCTCCTTGGAAACCCTCGGGGGGTGTTCTACTCTGTCCTGTAGGGTCGCTGTGAGTAGGAATTGACTCGACGGCAGCGAGTTTGGTTTTTTTTTTTTGGTTGGGAGCTTATTAGAAATACAAGGCCCACCCCAGAGCTACTAAATTAAAAAAACTGTATTTTAGGAAGCTCCCTGAGTAATTTAGATGCACATTTAAGTTGGAGAAGCACTGATTTAGAGGCTTGTAAGTCACAGTAAGGACTTCAGCTTCAAATGAGTGCACTTGGAAGCCACTGAATTTTGAGCACACAAATGACACGGTCTGATGTTTTAAAAGTATCACTGTCTGACAGCTAGATGGTGCCCGACTACCACCACTGACTGCTCTGACTGGGATCACAATAGAGGGTCTTGGACAGAGCTGGAAAAGGATGT